TTTTTAAAATTTGAGGAACGCGCTTACGTTTATACGTGTACTCAAAGTGAAATACAGTTTCCTCTTATGCCATACAAACATTATCTTCAGAGTGGGAGAACTTCTTTTCATAATTACCCAATGAAAATAATATTGTAACGCTGCCGATATAAAACTATCAGCCTCCGTAATTGTTAGCATGCACAAAGGTCCCTGAATCTCTGATGCTTTTGTCATTACGTCGATATGCCGTAATGTACGTCATGCATCTTCGCGTAAAGATGTGCGCAGCTGGCCTCGGCCAGCGAATAAGGCAAGATTGCCCATGGGCAGAGCCACGTCTCCTTGCATCATTGGCTCCGCAAACGATGATGCATCTCCAAACGGGCCACGCTGGCCACAGCGACTTTGACAAAACGTCGCTGTTTTCTTCTCTGGTTCCTTTCTCTTCCCCCCCCCCCCCATTCTTTAAATGTTCGTCATCACCAGTCTATAAGCCAGGACTATTTCTGTGATTTATGTTCCCAGTTTTTCTCCTGTTTCCCTTTCCATCTTTTGAAAAGCAATGAATGCTGCTACATCCTGTAGAATGCTCAGTTTTTGAAATGTGCTCCTGTCGATTCATAAATCAAGCTCGCAACGATCTGACAGCCGCAAAATATAATGGAACAGTTAATATAAATTCCTTTTAACGATAAATTGATTATATCCCCGGTCTTTGTGGTAAAATAAATCCTCCAATTTTACTTAATAGACATTATATGTATTGCGTAATGTATTTTGTTAAATTATTTGAATGGAAAAAAAGAACGCCCTGTATAAATTATAACGGACGTCGGCATTGGCAATATTTTCTTACAGAACCAGGTAACAAGTATTCTAATATCAGTTGCTGAACAATAACTTCAGTTAAACATGCATAAAATAACGAATAACATCACAAATTATTAACATTTGAGACTACACAAGATAACGCCAGCATTTACGTGACCATTCCACAGAAAAGGACATGCCGAGGCGATCGTATATTTTGGTAATATAATATATTCTATAGCATATGGCACACATATTGGATCATCTAAGGCTTTCTAAAATCTGGTTATGAAGGCTCATGTTTAAAACGCAAACCCTGTTACAAAATACAATGGGATGTGCCTGTGGTAAGGGCAAAAATATTCGACCAGCTGTGCAACCCTGGCAGTAGCATGAATTTAAAATATACATGGGTCAAACCTCCCCCCACTGCCAAAATAATATTGATTATTCCTTGGTTTAGGTGCTGGGCATGAGCAGTTTACGGCGGGGCCAGGCTGAATGCACGAATAACTTCATTATCATGGAGGTCTGGCCTATCAGAGATAAGCTTTGCCATCACTTGCTTATTCCCCTCTAGGGTAAAACTAGTGGCACGAAAAGGTGGATAAAACCTTTTATAGTGCAAACGTATGGCCATGCAGCACAGGCAAACATTCGCATCCACTCGCTGTAGAAAGGTTTCTTCCACCCAACACCCCAAAAAATTTAAAAAAAATAAAAATGCAATCTCATTGAAACGGTAAACTGTCGTAAATGTCATCGATTGCAATGGTACCACTGTTGTAGTTTTAAAACAAAGCTCTATTGAGTAGCACTAAGAATGCAGAAAACAACATGCTGGTTGAAGGCATTTTATTGTTATTTATTTACTGTCAAGGTACAAAGAATTACTGTGCAAAATCAGAGACCATTTCAGATAAAGTTAACAGCTCTAGAACCTTTGATTTACTTACATGTAAAACGCCATTGTGAATTCCCAGGGTCCTCATACAATTGCTTCATATAAGAGTAAAAACAGATGCTGTGTTATAGATCCAAGCCAAAGAAAATGGGAATTCCATGGATAGAAGTGTTCAGTCGTGAGAATAAGCCAACACTAAAACACAATGAATAATCAGATATTTAACATAGTATATTAAAACACTGTACTGTATATTGACAAAATTTAAACATATATAAATATCCTTGTTATGTACCATACAAAGACAGGATTTTTTTGAACGCAATCTCTGACAAAGAATGGCATACCAGTTCTAGCAATAAGGGTGCCTAAAGGAGTCATTGCTATTTAGAGCCATCTTATTCATAGATTCAAACGTCACCGGGAAACCTTACATATGCAGGGTATCTGTGTCGCTCTTGCGATCACTTGTCCACTCTCTATTTCTGTCTGTGCCAGTGCGGCCCTCTCTGCCTTTTCTCGGCCTTTCGACATCTGCGTTCCCGGGATCTCTTCTTGCATTTGCCAGCCATACACAGCCACCGCGCCCCAGCCGTGTGGCCACCACTGCCTTCTTTCACAAACTCGTATTAAGCCAGATTGCATCAGGCCTGAATCAATATTAATTAAAACGGCGAAAAGATTTACCGTCTTTGCCCCCCTCCCGCCCAGCAGTCTAATTCCACTAATAAACATGCTCACTCAGGCTAAGCTACAGCGGGTAGAACAGGTTCTGTTATGGTTCTCTGGTTTTACCCACTGAAAGGTATCAGTTTCAACCCGGCTGCTGAACTGCATAACAGGAGTCACCCGCTATAACAAAAAAATAAGAACCTGACATACGTTCCGTACGTTTATTATTGCCACACACTGTACGAGTTTATGCTTCGCCCCGTGGTGTAATACGTTAGAGTAGCTGCAAAAGATTGTAATATAAAAAAGCAACATTTAAGGGAGTATAGAAGGTAAAAAAACGCACGCCAATTTTTAGATTCTTTGTAAAGCGCGTTTTAGCGATGCAGTAAAAAAATGTAACGTTTTGGCAAATGCAATAACTACCTTGAGCATTTTGCATTATTCTTTCACCAGGACTAGATATAACGTATAGTACTTACAACGTGTATATATTTTTTATAATTTAAAACGTTTTCAATTATGTGGTCTTTTACTGTATTATATGTGCAATGCAGTATTCAAACATGAGGTTTACCATATTAAATGTCTAATTTACATGTGGAATTTAGATGGATTGTCTAAACATTACACTTTTGTTTAAACATTATAAACTAAACACCGTACCGCAATGTACGTCACTTTATTTCAATTATCGTCCTTCCATGCATAATAAGAGGCTTTCTGAAATCCTATATTTTGCATTTAAGGGATGCAAATTCAAGGAAGAAAACAGCCTACATATAAATATTAAAACACATTCATACGGCTCTTTTTAAGTTTTTTTTATTATACATAACACAATGTCTTGGTTTTATTGAAGTTATGGAAATGCACTGTATCTACAATAAATCTGAGCATTTATTGCACACCATATACCACTTGACTTCATACTAAGCATGGATTATATTGGAAGCACCGGACCGAAATGAAGTAATATAGAAGCCCTGTCCTCCACATGCAATGACCGCACTCGCGTATTTGATTGGGGGCAGACGGAGCTATATAAGGCAACCCAGCTGAAGGGCAAAGTTGCAGGTCTCCACTTCTTGGTTACAGACTCCAGTGAATGGACAAAAATCAATACCACTGCAGGAACAAACTGTACTCTTGATATCGGAGTGGCCCATAATCCAGCTTCTATGAGTTTGTTGCTAATATGACCTTGGATCGTTTTTTTGATTTTCTCCCGAAGAACCTGTTTTTTTCATGGAAAACTTATTTTCATGGGTCAGCCACAGTGAATCCTTAAAACTCATGTTGATGGCCACCATTTAGACTTGAGATTGGAAGCTGAACAGTAGAACTCCAATAAATCCATGGTGGTATGGGGAGACCAGATCACGGATCCCGTAGCCGCGGAGGTTAGTCCCGAAATCCACAAAATATGTTGCACCACCGTAGTGTGTCATGGATTACAGGGCAAATTAGCCACGCGGCTCCATTAATCCATGAAAACATCTCATATTACAGGGGAAGTGCGAGCACGTGACTAAAGGCTAAATTAATGCGCGATAAAATTGCGGATTATGAGGTTACACGAATTTTCCAAGGCCTAAATGGTGCAAATCTGCCATATGGGTTAACGTTATAGGATTTTAGAATTTTTTCAGGCTTGACATCCAAGTGTAGAAAATTCAAAAGAGGCCAACGGCTCCATTGCAATGCGAACTATTAATTACTTAATTAAGCACATTACAAAGAGACCAGCGATTTCGTCGAAATGATAACATTGCAGAGATGTAGCAAGGAATTTAAGACAAAATAATAAAATAGTTTGCATTTCGGAGAAGATGGCAGCCTATTTGGAAAGCGCAGCACTTAAAAAAATATGAAATACTATTTTAAAATAATTCTAATATATTACAATCTGTGCACGCCGCTAACGTGGTGTGCCGCGGACTGAACGAGAGGAGTTAGCCGCTCCCAGAAGACATACAGAAATCCTGCGATTTTTTGCGGATTACAGGATCAATGGTAGTTGCAGACTACTGGCAATTCACCACCGTAATTTGCTAATTAAATAAATGCAGACTTTTTGTGCTTGTCTCTAAACATCATTCAAGGTGAATCGCAGATGATGCATTAAAATTTACAAAAACACAAAGCTGTGAAAATAAACAGCGAATTAAAATCACAATTAATATATTGAGAAAATCAATGCAATTTACAGTCTTAAACCGATCTGCTTAAGTGATGGCTACCTTGTATTTTTTACCCCGGTGTCATTTAAATTTCCTTGTTTATTTTATAACTTTAGGATTAAACCACAAGCTGATCAAGCACAACCCCTTCAGGTATTGTGCAGATGTGAATTGATTTGTTCTGATATGATAAACAGGATGAGGCGCCAATGAATATATGAATGGAATTTTAACATCGTTGCAATCAAAACCCTCAGATTACCATGGTTGGCTACGTACGGTGCGAAAGAAATGCATACGTACATGAAAATCCCTTAACACGATACATTTGCACACTCGTTACCAAAATTGTACATACTCTCCTCCACGTGAGTAGTGTAATAACACTCTCCCTTAACAAAGCCAAGAGCCACGCAGGGTGCCGCAGTGATATGACACCTGGGACTCACAGCAAAAGGTTTCAGAGGTTCGATTCCCGACTCGGGCAGCTTTCGGCGTGAAGTTTTTATGTTTTCTCCTGGTTCTCCTGTTTCTTCCCATAGCTAAAAAAAAAAATACATACAATGTAACTGGTATTACCCAAACATCCCAATGCTGAAAAACTTCCTGAAAATTAATCAATTGGGATTACACACAGTAGCAACATCGCTACCCTACTGCAATAACTTGGCAGGACCCTACTGAATAATTATCAGTGAGGCTTTCTTGAGTAAACCAAGCAGAATAACAACGAAAAATGGGCTGCAAAAGCAAGTTTTAATCGTTCGTAAACAGTGCTCCCCAGTATTACCACCTGTTGGCAGATGAAACAGATGCGCAAGCCACGGTGTCAAAGCACATCGTGGGGACTACGATCACTGTGCGATTGCAGAATAGAAAAACGTTCTGCTAAATACGCACTCCTTTTGTGTTTATACTGTATACGGTACTCTGTAGACACAAGCAGTATCGGATGCTAAAATGCATGTCAGTTGTACAAAAGGCTGGCAGAAAATTAATTTCATCATCATCATTGGCGATGTAAAAGCCACTGCTGGCTTAAGGCCTCTCCAAGCCACTACCATCTCCCACGATCTTGCAATAGAATAATCTGCCTTGCACCTGTATATACGATCCGATTTCCATCTCCTCACCGATGTCCTCTCAGACTCCTTGGGCTGCCACTCCATCTTTATTCTTAGCCATCGGTTATGATCTTGTATACTCACGTGTCCTCCCATCTAGCCCACTTAATTTTCTTAAGAGTTTGAATTGTGTCTTTACGTATGAATGCATGTTGAACTTCTTTCGCACCATACGTAACCAACCGTGCTAATCGTTGGAGGTGCGCGGGAAGGACAACAAACTAACACAACAAAAAAAAGTGCTGTCGAACATTAATTACTTCACGTAAGATTAATATATTGAGAGAAAAAACACATTCTGAAAGCAAGCTCTGTCACTGGACGGAGGGGTTGACACAAAACGCTTGCGGTTGACAATTACAATCGCGTTATCATTACAACTCTGGTTATCAAGACTTAACCGTCCTTCTTCAATGTCATACCGCTATTTCTGTTGGAACAACGGCATAACTTGCCTTTAACTGCGACACGTTCGGAAAATTATGATGCAGTGATGCGCCTATTTTGTCATACTCATCCAACATCCTGCTGGGTTGTTGGGATACGGGGACCCAAGTACTGTACCATTGAAGCTAATGATTAGCTCTAAATCCTCCATACATATGATTCAATATAAAAATATACATATTGGTGGAAACGCGGTGCTTTTTATGCGTATGGTAGAATCGCGCAGCCCTATCTTAAATTATGCCTACCATAGCCCACTACATTTGGTCACATCATGCATTATTGATACAATTATTGATACAATAATGCATGGGCCACTGATTGCCTCTTTTGCATTATTACCTGTTAATTATTGTCTGTAAGTTCAAATTCTGCAGCTATGTTTATTGTAGATTTTTTTGTGATTAATATTTCACATCAGTACTGTGTAACGGAATATATTTAGTTCACACGGTAGTCAAACAAATATAGCTGTAAACAGTTGAAACAGCGTGTCATGGAGAAAGAGAGAGGTCTCTTTCAAAACGCTATCTCAAGAAGATGCTCCCTTTTGACACCGACTTAAATCCACATGCACGCCGTTACCCGTATCTGAAGAATACTATACGTTGTCACGCAGTGCCACTTTCACAGTTCATGAGGCTGATCTTTCACTTGAAGACTTTGATAAGATGCCAGTGTAGTTGACAGCAAAGGCAGTGGGATATTATTTTAAGTTTGTTTAAAAAAATAGATTTTCAAATGAAAAATTATTCTCAAATTGCAGTCCATAAATGCATTTAAATCGTATGCAGTGCTCATGAGTGCGTACATAAATCCACATATGTGTTCAACTTAATAAACATAGTTACAAGCAGGTATTGATTTAGTGAAGTTGTACATGTGCAAGCCATTTTCTTTTAAAAGCCTGCCACTCAAACACTACAGTAGTTCCAGGCTTAATGAATTCAGCGCTGTATGAACTTGCCACATTTTATGTCAGCTTTCAATCATCATTTGTGTCGGCATTACAAATATAAATTGCTAAACTAACACGTACAAGTCTGGCCATCTGCCAAGAAGGTGAACGCTCCTTGTTCCTCCATTCAATACTTTTTTTAATGCTGCAAAAATGTGAGTGCAAATGTACATCTGTCGGCTACCTTGAGGTTTGAGTTGAGGGTGGACGGAAAAAGGAAGACATTTACAGCCAGAGTGATTTACATTGAGTTTGACACGGATACAAGGGCCGGCCACACAGCCCTGACCCTATACTGGTACCATGATATGATTCGAAGAATGAAACACAGTGCATTCCTTTATTTTCTTGCACAAGACGACACAGGGCCGATAGTGTATGGTAGGGGGGAAAAAAACCCTTTTGTTTATTAGGCCCTCCTTAAAATGCTTCACATTCCCTACTCTCTGCAGTGGATTACCGCAACTTCATAATAAACCACAGAGTTACTTGATTGGTCTTTAGTGAAAGGAGACGTGACAGCGTACACATGACAGGGCTGTTATGCAGTCTGCGAGCTTTAAAATCCGTGGGTTTGACGAATCACAAAATGAATATTTCAATTGTATGCTTCAAGACGCTTTTGTGTTTTTTTTGGTCTGGGAGCTCGACAACTATAAAAGAGTCGGGTAACTTAGGGTTTGACATACTGGACAGGAAATGCCATACTAACACCCTCGACCATAATTGCTGTGGCCTGTTGAGTCTGGTGTGGTACCCAGCACTGCTTCAAAATCGCTCCTCGCAGGGATTCAGAACCTTACAGCACATTTCAGTGAACACTCCATAACCTTTATAATTACAGTCCGACACATTGCAGCCATATGGTTACCATATTCTACTTTCGGAATGTGGCGGTGGGGGGGGGGGAATTGTGAAGCAATAAGTCGAATCTGTATGGTAATACAATAATGCAAATAAATTGTATGACTATAGATACTACTTTTTCTGATCAATTGCATCGGCACAACTTTTGTTTCAAATTTGCAGGGCGAATAAACAAAGAGTGCAGAGGTTAGACTATTAAAGAAAATTAGGATAATTGAGCCGTGGTCCGTTTTTGGCATGCAATTACAGTGCCTAGTTGCAACCAGCTGAGATCGAAATTCGAAGCCACCCAGATCACCTTGCCTGTTTTGTGTCACCGAGCCTAATGAGAAATTTGCACTTGTGTCCTTCCTGCCATATTTTGATGCACATTCAAAGAGCCAAAACGATGTCCCGGACCTCCTCCGCGTTCATAGGGCAGTGCTGCTGCCAGCCTGGGGAGCCCCCACAGTCAGAGGGCCGCGTGAATTGGAAAACTTGGCAGGCAAATTAAGTTTGATAGTGTTTTCTTGTTACTGGCCCTCCTGGGTTTCCTCCAGCCAGACCTCCACGCGCTCGGTGGCTGTTGCATTGGCTGCTGGGAAGTGACCAACCCAACACGCGCTCAGTATCACTTTCCGTTCGATGAAAGCCACCATGACATTTAGTGGAAGTCGCACCGGACTGCCCGCGCGCTAGCTGAGAAGTGAGATGTGTAAATCAATACCATACGTTGGCCTACACACAGCTGCCAGGAGCCTGCTTAGGGGGCGCCGCTGGCCATTGGCGCCTGGGCCATGTGCTCCAAGCATTAAGGGTCTTCCAGTTCCGAAACAATCTGTGCTTAGCACTGGATATAATATTGATTCTGTGTGGAATGTTGGTCAACCCTCTTTCATCTCTCGGTATTAAGGTTACAAGGACCTTGAGCATCACATTTTCTGCACCATGGGTATTTACACTGCTGATTGACTCTTTGGTATTGCATTTGTCATCGGCATGTTTTGTATTACGTGTTGTTTTTGATGTGTGCGTTTCTATCCTCAATCTCGTCCTGCATTTTAATTCTGCCAAAAAAATATAAATGTATATCCTAGACCTACTATTGCATATTTATTGTGCACGTTAAATATACTTTGTAAAATCGATTTTACAAACCGATTGGTGCATGTATTCACGTATGTGCAATACATGGAAGAAATAAAATACTTTATTTTATTGTACTGCTCACAAACAACATTGGCTTTCAATGAGATATACTGTCCACCGTGATGTGTATACCGTGCTATGTTTAGATATACGGCATATGTGGTGAATCTGATAAAAGAGCAAAGACAAATTGGGACTTTACAGTATGTGGAACATCAGATGGATTCGATGGCATTAACAGATTAATAGATAACACGTCCACCCTGCTGTTTCACACATTCCTCTGCTACAACAGTGTGAAATTACCTCCTTTTAAGGCCGGTTCACCCAGGGTCGTATCAAACTTAAATAAATACTTTACACGCAATATACACCGACATGGCAAGTAGAAAATCTTGGCTAATTTTCGTAAGATAAACTACGACTCTTCGCTCATGACAGAGTGTATTCCTTTGTTACTCCATACAATTATATGAATTATACATGTGCTGCAGTATGTACCCCTTGAGTTATTTACATCTATTAACAGGGCATGTGCATTCTGATGACCAATGGTTGCAAACCATGTTTAGACACAAAACACAAATTCCCATGAGACAGTACGCATGGGACTAAGTATTACACATTACAGGGTGCTGTAACTTTGCTGTCAGGCTATGCACAGTCACGTTAGCAATGACAAGCAGCATAATTTATACGACCGGATTTAAACATCTCCTGAAATGTGATAAGCCAGTCAATTCTCAAACACCATGTGATGGCCTTTTTTTTTTACAGATGGTTACCGTTCGAAAAGCAAATATGCGCTTACCACGGTTAAGCAGTATTTATCTGTACAAAGAAATCCACCACAGTGTACATACATATAGCATAGCACACACGCACATATGTGCTCACACGTTTAAATGTAAACACTCACACACACACACATGGTGCTGCGAGTGACGGTGTCATAGGGAGGAGAGCGCTTGTACCGCATCGGCTGTAACTCGCCTGGACATTTAACACCACCAT